GAAGCCAGAAACTTTTTAAAGCCCTATGAGCAGATTAACTTAACTGCAAATCTATTTCTTCAAGTTGCGACTCTCTATGGGTACAAAATTGGTTAGGTTTTTCTTAGAACAAGAGGCACTAGGCTGTCTGTCCAGCATAAAATCATATGCCTTAAACTGATAGCTTCCTCTGCAATTGAAATGAATCTTCTGGGGATGTTAATACCAATCAGTTGACTTCATTCTACAGAATTTGAATACGGCATCCCCTTGCTGGTAGAGCCTTGCTAGCAAAAGAGTGCTCTTGCATTCAAAACATGATGGAAACAGACATTTGACTGCACCAGTAGCTAATACAAACAGTCCTGGTAAAAACAAAACAAAACATGCTTTTCAACGGTATTGGATCATCTTTTGCTCTGTATAAGAAAAATAGATGTTTTTTGTGCAAGATGTGTAGGTATCTGACACTCCAACTCCTCTCCCTGCCCATTTTTTATTACTTTTTTATTTTTGTAGATGGGTTGAATTTACTTATTTTTACCTTGAGTGTAATAAAGGCCAGTAAAAAATGAGGATTTTATATGTAGCTAAGGTGACTAGAACATCACTGTCCTCGTGTCTCTGATTTATGGGACAGAAGCAGTAGCTAAAACTTGAGCATGGCATCTGGAACAAAAGTATTCAGGACCATTACCTACTATAAGCTTTTGCCAGCAGAGTTGGCTTCCCTGTGGTATCTGCTTAAGTTATATGTCTTGTTTTTGTATGACCAATGTTTTCCTCCACAGTTAATAGTGATTACTAATGCTAAGTATGATGCTTAGAAGGTGGGGAAAGGAACTAACCCCCCGCCCCCCCAAAAAAACAAAAACTTCAGCAGAGGAGTGACTTGATCCAGGATGTTTTAAAATAACAAATGTAGCTTGATGCCGAGCTTTCCATGAAGCAGCTACAGCAGAGTTTGTTCTATGAAATTCATTACAATCTAATTTGAAGTCTTGTAGGAAGGAGCAGGGTCTCTAAACTAGAATTTGCCAGACTAATGATTTTTTTTTTTTTTTTTTTTTTTTGTACAGCATGATCGTGTCTCTGGTCATTTCCTTTATAACAGAACCCCAAAGGTTGTCAGTCAAGCACTAGGAGTAACTACACACTTTACACTTTGTCTTATCTCTACTGGTTTAAGTAATCCCTAGGAAAACCTGAATCTACATCGGATTTACAAAGCGGGGGGGAGGGGGCGGTTCTTTTGCGCTTGATTCTACAATTTTTAAGTGTACTGTGCAAAAAATCAAATGACTTGCCAGTATCCTGGAATGAATGCTTGTAGCTAAGATTCCAGCCCAGCTTGCAGCTCAAACATTTTCACTCTGTATTCTGTCTCTAACCTTCAACCTGGGATCCTTATTGAGCCTCATTCCCAGCAGAAAGATCCCATATGGCTCCTTCTTCCTATGTGCCCAGACTTATAGTGGAAGCTTACAAAGATAACTGCCTTTCATTTCATTCTTCACTTTCCTGTGCAAAGTTGAACGTACACACTTTAGTCCATTAACAACTAAGTTGACCACATCAAGTGACTTTCTCTGTCATTTTTAAGTAAATAACAGATAAAACTTGAACCTGGGGAAATGCTAAGCTTCTGTGCTTGGCTACAGTACCTAGACTCCCCAGGCTCTCTTATTAAATACAAAGAGTAGTTATTCAGTATACACTTGGGAGGGGAGAAGGACTCTTCTCCCGAGTTCCTGTTTTGGAACTATAGATAGCTATTACAGTGTGACAGAACATTAGGAGTCGGTCATATCCAGCATAGGTTCCATAGATGGTCCTTTGGAACTGCAGAAAAAGATGTGAATATAGAACTGTTCTTTCTTTTTAAGTCTGCTTGGTCTAGCTGACTGACAGTAGTACTTCTCAATATTGGAGCCCAGTTCTCATGGGTACCTTACTGGAGTCAGCGAAGTTAATGCCACTTTTCATTGGATTAAGCTGCTACACTTCTTCCTCCCTCCCCCCACCCCATTAGTAATGGCACACAGGTAGGAAATTATTTCTTTTGTCCTGGTGTGAGTGAGATTAATGTTGGCCTTGGAGAATAAAGCAGTTAAATATGAACTATGATAGCTAAGTGCTTGACATTGCACTATACGTATGTATAATTTTCAGTTGTGTGGTCTTTCATTAGGGGTTCTCTCAAACTCTGCATCAGGAAATTGTGTTCAAATCACGGCAATTGAATTGACAGCTCTCATGTTCCCATTAGAATAAGAGCTGTCCTCACATTTTGCCTGCTACACAGTTCATTTCCTTCAAAGGAAAGCAACAAGTAATATTTCTTGTGTGTATACAGAAGATCATGTGCTTACTACCTGAAAACTGTAACATGGCCGAAACTGGGCCGGCAGAAGGATGTTCAACTGCAGCTGAACTAGGGCAGTATCCCTGAAGTGTTAACCTAGAAAACTAGAACTCCTACAGTATTCAGACTACTCGGTGCAATGGCTTATTTTTGTTAACACGGGTTTAATGTATGTACGTATGTATGTATGTAAAATAAACAATCTGAACTGCGTTCATTAAGCAGCACTTCCTCAGTGCTGTTTTAGCTGTTTTTGTACAAAGTGAAGGAGTTCTGACAAATGTTTTAATGTTGTCTAAGTCAGTGTCGACTCATTCTATTGTGGTATATTGATACCATAGCACAACTTTTTGCTTGGGGCTGGATTCTGTCACCCCTTCATGCAGAGAATCTTACTGTGCAAGTGACTCCACTGGTCGTGAATGGAACTACTTGCACATTAAGGTTCTCTTGAATGAGAATGGGGAAAAACAGAATTAATCTCTTAGCTTCAGGAGACCAGACTACATTCAAAGTGCTTAATGTATCATAATGTACATATTTCTAATATTCTTTTGGTTCAGTTGTATTTTATATGATTGACATGCTAAACTATTTAAGAGTAACTGCTCTGAGTACTTGGAACACTGAATTGTATTGTATATAGATAGCAATCCCAATAAAGTAATTAAACTGTAGCTGGTATTCATTTTTTTTCTTTAATGCATTGGGGTGACTGCATGCTGGTGGTAATTGAGTTACAGCTGACTAAGTGAAATTTTGCTTTGCTTTGGTAACAGACCAACCATGTCGTTGTGCTTTGTACTGTTTGGGCAGAATGGCCCACAAGCCATTTCTTTGCATACCAATAGGTAGATTGATACCTAATCTGAGAGTGACAAGATAATGTTCAAGTAATCTAACTTTCTGAGGGAGCACAGTGGATCCCCCTCTAAATTTTTTTTAAAGCAAGACTGAGGTAAGTAGTATTACAAAGGTGAGCAATAAGACAAAGTAGTCCTATTGGAATAAATGGACTTGACAGTGTAGTTCCTAATGTGGTGCTATATCAAGCATCTGGGACTAGGAATAAACTAGAAACCTTCCTAATTTTGGATGAGTATCTGTACATCTGCAATGCAGAACATCCAGTCTCCAAAGGTATTCTCAGGGGTGGAAGTTGCAGGGCTTAATGGACTTGACTACTTTTTTGTTTTTGTTTTTTTATTATCTTCTACGCAGAAGCTCATGGTCGTTCTGAAGTAGTGGGGTTAGGCAGGAAGGTGATTTTGGTAGAAGGGGGAAAAAGTAGAATGATGATTAAAAAAACCAAAAACCAAAACAAACAAAAAAACCCCTCCCCTGAAACCAAAAACCATTGGTCTTTGCATAGCAGTTTTATCTTCTGCAATAAAAAAAATAGCAGTTCACTTTTTTTCTAAAATGCTTGGTTGGGAATGATTTTAAACTCATTCTTAAATTTGTTCAATTGGGGCTAGTAAATCTAGATTACATCTCTTTGCATAGCTCAATGTCTGCTTTAAATATCTAAGCCTGAAGATGTTGATTGATCTACATATTTGAAATGAACACACTGTGTACACACAGTTGCCTGTATTTTTATATACATTTCTCATCCCTTTTAAGACTGTTCTTGTGGTAGGAACTGCTATGTTCACATCTTCCTCTGCCTTCTTCCCCCCCCTGCCCCAAATCCCACATGGATCTGAGGCCCCTCACCAAACGGATGATTCCAGTGATTTTTTGATCTTGGGAAATTATACTTGACAGAGGTACTTTGGATTTGATCCAGGTTAAATCTAGGGGGAATGACCTACTTCCATCTCTTATATAAAGGCATGCTTTTCCTCCTCTCGCATTTTAATGCACATTTAAGGTGACCAACACGCTATATTCACAGCCTCCTTTGTTCCAACCTGAGTGATGTTTGGAGTGTAGTACACACAAGACAGATAATCCCTCTTTTTCTTAACACCCTTTTGAGCTAAAATTTGGGCTTTTAGGAAATCCCAGTTGCATAATAGCAGAAATGCCATGGTCCTGAATAAGCATCCTCTACTTACCCAAGAGAAGAAAAGGTTCCCTTTTACAGCATGACTGAATGAAAAGGGGAATTACTCTGAAGTGCGAGAGGGGTCCTTTCCTCTCTTATTACCATGTTTTCTTAAACATAAGGCAACCCTGAATATAAGATACCTTCCCCACCCCCAATAATTGGATTCTACATGGAAAACTTATCAATTTGTTAAATAGTTCAGGCCTAGAATCTACTTATTGGAAATTATCCTTGAATTTGTCCCACTCCCCACTGTTGCAGCAGGGAAAATAAATCTTGGGGGTCAGGTGCCCCCTTGCCATCTGCTTCCCTTCTTCCTCCCCACCCCTCCTTACTGTCAGACCCTACTCTCCCTGAGCATGTGGAAGTCAGGAGCAAATTTTAAAACACTGACATTGAAATAAACATGTAGTGTATACATAGATTTCTATGGGCATCCATAGGCTTAGTCCATCCAGAATTGACGCATGTTCCCTTTTTTGCAACTTTTGCAAGCGTTAGCATAGGTACTCCATAAACACTTACTGAGAACACTTCAAAGCAGCACTTTTGTACCTACTTAGATATAGTACAAACTCTGCAT